GAGTTGCTTCTCTCCGAGCTCTGCTGGCGATCAGGGGACTGGATCTAAGTGAGTTTGGTTATCAAGGCGGTAGGCAGTGAGTCACAACTCGGTTGGATTCATCATTGCCCAACCCCCGCCTCCCCAGGCAAAGCTGTGTGCGTGCTTCTGTGGTTTTGGGGGGATGTTTATGATTGCTGTCCTTTCAGGGCTCTAGAAATGGGGGAAGAAGCTGTGCATAAACCATTACTGTTGTGTTATTCCAAGAGACGTTTTACATAGACTGTGTGTACACTTGTAAGCAAACTTTCTGGGAGGGCTTTGCCCCTGTCTTCAGAGGGTACTGACAAACTGACTCTTCCCCCTCCATTAATAAGGAACCATCAATCACAGTTCTGTCTGTTGAGTTTCACAGAATCAGTTTGGTTGGAAGAGATCTCTGGGATCATCGAGTCCAACCTTTCCCTAATCCCACGGTGTCAACTAGACCATGGCATGTCCAGTCTTTTCTTAAACCCCTCCAGGGATGGTGACTCCATCACCTCCCTGGGCAGCCCATTCCAATGCCTAATGACCCTTTCTATGAAGAAATGCCTCCTCATTTCTAGCCTGAACTTTCCCTGGTGCAGTTTCAGACTTTGCCCTCTTGTCTGGTCACTGGTTGCCTGGGAGAAGAGGCTGACCTCCACTTCGCTACAGTTTGTGAAACTACTCCTTGTGTACTTTAGTTCATCATACTTCCCTAAGTATTTGTAGAAGACAAGCTCTTACAAGATTACATGAGCTTATTTTAGAACCGGTGGTAGCTAATTATCCCGATTATTGTGTTCCTACTGCATTGCTTGCTGACTTGAATAAAATGTTTATTTATAGTGTCCGTGGGGAGCCCCTAACACAACATCAATATCATGTTCCCTTGCTGATGTTATGAGTGAACAGCTGGCGAAAGAGCTGCAGCTGGAAGAAGAAAATTCTGCTTTTCCTGAAGTGGTTGCGTAAGTTTAAGTCCTGGATTAGTGATCTGCATAGTTGTGAAGCCGTCTTCTCTCTCTTGTGCATATTCTTACAATGTCCTTAATGTGTAGTGATACAGTAAAAGCTTTGCCTATTATCTCTTAACTCTGCTTCTTCAGGTCTTTTTCTGTGAAGATGGCTTCCCCAGTTAAAACTCTTCCTTACATTCTCTTCTGTCACCCTTCCTTCTTTCTTGATACTTTCTTAGCATTGTTTTGGGTGATTTAAGCTAGTCTGTAAGCTGCATTTTGAGAAGCATCAGAAATGTTTTTGTATTGTGGGGGTTTTTTTGCCTTCCCTTTTGGAGACTCTTGTTAACAGTGTACGGTGTTATTTCAAGAACTGTCAGGTGTATCACCTGTATCCTCCTAATACTTGGAAGCTCTAAACATAGGCAAAGAGCTTACTAGTTCTAAACTCATACAAATTTTGCTGGTGGTCTTTTCTGTGAAGCAGAGCAAAGCAACACTGTTTGGTTTTTTTAAAATTAATTTGTTTTTACTTACTTATAAATCTCTCTTTATCTCTCTCTCCCCATACATCTGTATGCCTTCTTTCTCTTTTATGCAGGGCATCTTAAAAATGCAGCCTAGTGCTTCTTACAGAATGGTAAACAAGTAAAAGTTTAAGTAATATTTGCATTGTAAAGGAGTGGCAAAGAGAAATGAAGTCATACTCTATTTATATTTAGTGTTGGCTTGGAGGGGGGGGCGGACAGTTGAGATGCATTAATTTCTGTGCAGCTCTGCGTGAAGTTTTTTGTATAGAGTGATGAAATGGTATAAAGCAGTGTTTCTATTTAGATTACTGTGTTTAATTTTTTTAAATTTCTGTTTTCATTTTACATAGTGTTGCTGAAGGACCATTTATTACAGGAGAAAATGTTGACACTTCTAGTGACCTAATGCTAGCTCAGATGCTGCAGATGGAATTTGACAGGGAATATGATGCGCAACTTCGGCGTGAAGAGAAGAAGATCAATGGAGATAGCAAAGGTACCCTCATCAGAAGAAATATTTTTGCTTTGAAGATATTCTTGGCACTCTGCTTAAGTTGACAGAGCTGTGAGGAAGTAGCAAATTGTTGATAATCATGGTCATGCTTATTTGTTTTGTTTCTCAAGTCTCCATATCCTTTGAAAATTATCGGAAGGTGCATCCCTATGACAGTGACAGCTCCGAGGATGAGGTTGATTGGCAGGATACCCGTCATGATCCTTATAGAGCAGGTATGTGGCAGTTTTAAACAATACAATTTCTTCAGTTAATAGACCTAAGAATATGACATAGTTAAGTTTAGGTTTTTTGAATGTAAGGAGACATGCCAATTGTATGTAAAAGTCAGCTCACCTAATTGGGAGGTGTTATGCAGGAAGTTGGGCGGGTAACTTCAGGCTTCTATCTGCCAGTAGATTGGCTTTGGTGACTGAATCTGGCAAAATAACTGTTGTATGTGGATCGTGGGGTATGCATATCTGTCATCTACATTTGTCTAGGGGCATCTGAACATGATATTGAATATTCCTGTCTTTAACATGCCAAAAGTGTGTCTGATATCTTAGAGAAGACATGGAAGTAAGTCATAACATAGCAAAAGAAGGTGTAATCTTCAGGATAAGAGACGACTCCATTAGGATCATACAACTCAAGTATTTTATTCTGTTTAATAAATAAAATTATGTGACTTTTCTGGGCATTGTGGAACCTTTATGAGCATTAGTTGTATTTGTTTAGATGTAAAGTTTGATTTATTTTTCTCACTGCTGGCAGATAAACCTACTACTACACCGAGAAGGGGCTTCATAGGAAAAGGAAAAGACATTACTACTAAACACGATGAAGTGGTATGTGGAAGAAAGAACACTGCTCGCATGGAAAATGTAAGTGAAAACTATGGGGAACTTGTTTTGTGTGTAAAACTGGAATGCTGTAATTCAACCAAAGAGCTAATGTTTGTCCATCTGTGCTACTGTATCATTGGTGCTGATTTATCAGATGAAATCAATGCATCATTTGGATTAGTCATTCAAATTGGCAGTTTGAGTTGTGCAGGTTTTTTGTTTAATAATAGTTTGTTAATGACCGTTATGCAAGAATTTGCACAGATCTGTTTTGGCAAAACAAAACTATCAGCAAGTCTGATACACAGGCAAATAAAACACCAAGGCTATTTTTGAAAAGCATAGCTATTGTGTAATCTAATTTTTTTTTTGTAACCTAATTTTGCCTGAGGAGCCAAGTAACTTATTTTTAGTCAATTGTTTGACTTACAGCTTTTCAGTCTGTTTATCCATGGTACATACCTTCCGTTTTCTTTAATGTAACTGGTGCAACTTCTGCAAATAAGGAAATGCTACAAGTGCTATTTTTACAGGATGTTAGGTAATCTCGTACCAATTTGGGCAGAACTTTGAATTCTGAGTTTAAAGCAATATGTGTTTTAATACAGTGACAACACTACACAAAGTGGGTTTCACATAAGTTCTAATCTGCGAGAGGTTTTTCCAAATCAGAATGAGAAATTTCTGCTAGTGTCTGCTAGTAGCAATGCTTAAATTTCTGTTACTTCTACTTGTAGTTTGCACCTGAATTCCAAGTTGGGGATGGAATTGGGATGGACTTAAAGCTGTCAAATCAAGTCTTCAATGCCTTAAAGCAACACGCGTACTCTGAGGAACGTCGAAGTGCAAGGCTCCACGAAAAGAAGGAGCACTCCACTGCTGTATGTTTTTAATAAAGTCTCTCTATATACTTTTTATCTTGTGTAACAGCTGAACACTGTTTTGGTAGTTTCTTGAAACATTTCATTTTCAGTAAAACAGTTAAGTGATAGTATGTTAACATTGCTGAAGGAGATGGTATCAGCCAGCTTCTACTAGAAAAAGGCTGTCTATTTGAGCTGCATTACTGTGAGAGCCGTATCAAAACAAGAGCAAGCAGCCTAGAAATTATTTATAGAAACCATCCAGAGGATTAATCCTCTGCAGTTGAACCATGCAGCTCCAAATACCTGTCTTCATAGCAAGTTTCAGGAAGATCAGGTGACCAAGTAAACTCTGACTTAATAATTTAGGAAGTCTGTTGATGTGCTTTATGGGTGAGTTTAGAGCAGGGCCTCTGGTAATTTTTGCTGTGGACTTCTTCAAATTTGGGTGTGTCATTATATCAGTAACAATAAAATAAAAAAGAATATAATATTTAGGATATTTTGATTCATGATGTGTAAAGACTTCTTGAAAACACGGTAGAAAGTGCTTTTGAGCCATAGTCTGTACTTTAGGTGGAATTAGTAAAATACTGTATGTGCTACACAGCTGATAAGGTACCTGAGAGTATTAAATCTGTAGATGACAGTGCTGGAGCAGTTTGGCTTTACTTCATTGCTTGTTTGGGGTTTTTTTGTTTGTTTTTTTTTTTTTTTCTTCTCTCTGTCAATTGAGAGAATGTTCTTATTACATTATTCTTTCCACCTAGTTGAACACTTGCTGTATATAAATACTCTAAACTCACTGTAAAGCAAAGAATTGTTTTAATGAATTGAGTATTCATTTCTTGCCTGTAGGAGAAAGCAGTAGATCCTAAAACGCGTTTACTTCTGTACAAGATGGTCAATGCTGGGATGCTGGAGACCATCACAGGCTGCATCAGCACAGGAAAAGAATCTGTTGTGTTTCATGCATATGGGGGAAAGTAAGTGTATTGTGTGTTACTGACAGTAGCTTTAAGTACCAGACATGGTTTAAAAAGCAGAAACCACAAAAATATTTAAACAATCTGCACTTTTTCCATTCCCAAGACTTGAAGTTTGTGTTCATGTATATGCAGATAATGATAAAATCTGAAAACCAAAGGGTACCAACTGTAAAAAAAAAAAAAATCCCCACTTTCCTCCTTGGAGACCATGCCCTGAATGGCGACAAATCCACTATAGCTTTCTGTGGAAAAATATGTGCTCCTTTTATAAAAAAGAAGTCTCGAGATTTTGAGGAACTCTTTCCACCAACCTGCCCTGGACTACAGAGCTGTCATCATGATCTTGGGCTACCTGAAGATTGCCTTTCTGTACAGTTGGCTGTATTATCAGCTCCATCTGCGCAGTTCAGTGGAGGTGCTGTTTGTTACTTTTGGGTTACCTTGAGATTAGTGTTGGGATGCTGTTTGCTTTGCAAGTCATGCAAGAGTCTAGTTTTAAAAACTACCATGGTGGAAGGATTGTAGTACCTTAGTAGTCATTATAGTGCATTTAACTCTCTTTAAACTAGCAGTGTTTCAAAAAGAGCTAGTAAAACCCAAATACAGATGATCTGTTTAGAGATGTTGAGAGAGAGGCAAGTTGGGGGGTGGGGAGAAAAGATGCACTACTTTTTTTTTTAAATTGACCTTTGCTTGAATGATGTTCAGGAGTGTCCTTTGGATAGTATTATTCAATAGGCAATATCTTTGTGGTGCTTAAGAAAACATTGTGATGCTGCCATTATTGTTCTAATGCAAGAGTTTTGTGATTTCTTGGAGCAAGTACATCCACTAACAGGGCTGTTATTAGCTATGACATTTAAGTAAAATATTAACAGTCTTGGACATGGAACCTATTTGATAAGCAACATATAATCAAAATGCCAAAACCCAAACATTCATATTTAAGCGTAATCATAGAACTCTGTAAACTTGACTTGAATTGGCTTCCAAATTTGATAGAAAATCAGATCTTCTCTAATATTAAAAACTGCTGTATCTTTCAATGTTTAAAAAAAATAAAAAACCAAAACCATGTATTTGCTTGCAAAGATGTTAACTATTAACTTTGTTACATATTTGACTTTTTCCGTGAGAAGTGCAACTGAAGATAAAGTTATACCTCCAGAATGTGCCATCAAAGTGTTTAAAACAACTCTTAATGAATTCAAGAACCGCGACAAATACATTAAGGATGACTACAGATTTAAAGACCGCTTCAGTAAATTGAATCCACGAAAGATTATTCGTATGTGGGCTGAGAAAGAAATGCATAACTTGACAAGGTAAAGAACAAAAAGCGTAGCTGCCAAATGCCTGCCAGTTTCCTATTCTCTGTTTAAGGAAGATACACTACGTCTGGGTAGAATGTCTGGGTAGAAGTTTAGGTTTTACTTTTAATAATATACAACCTGGCACAGATTGAATCAGCCTCTGGTTTCTTACAGTGTAGCGAATTGTCAGCATCTCCAGTGATTTGGCAGCAAAATTTACAAGCCCGTGAAGTTAACAGGCTCAAGGTGTAAAAGTGATTAGTTTTCAGTGAGCATTTTTAGACCCGCTTGTGACTTTAAGATCTGAATTTTCCTATGTGAAATACTGTGAAACATACATATTTATTCAGTTTTCAATTCAGTCTATTTCAAAGACTTTGACTCTGGATCAAGTTTCCCACACACAGTTCTTTTGGAAAGGAGCAAGCAGGAACTAGAACTGTAGGGGTTTGGGGGTTTTGTTTTGTTTTTTCTTAATCAGTATCTATTTTCTGATCCACAGAATGCAAAATGCAGGAATTCCTTGTCCTCAAGTGGTTATCCTTAAGAAACACGTCTTGGTTATGTCTTTCATTGGCCAGGATCAAGTCCCAGCTCCTAAACTAAAGGATGTAACACTTAGTAGTGAAGATATGAAAAAGGCCTACTATCAGATTCTTAATGTAAGACAATGCTGATTTCTCCTCCAATTCTGGGTTGTGTTTTCTTCTAGGGGAATAACTTAAAGGACAAATCAGCATTATTTACTTTTCAGGATGCTTGCATCGCTTTCAGGATACGGAGTCCAAAGGCTTATTTTGCTGCTGTTTAATGTATGACTTAGAATAAATAAGAAATTATGCCCTAAAAAAAAAATAATTGGATCTTAATCTGAGTGGAAAACATGCTGGAACTTGATGACAAACACATACTTAGCAACAGAAGCATTATGAGCAAGTAGTCCTCCTTTGATAGAAGCAGTATGTGGTTTAGAAAGTTCTCTGAAGAAGTCTTTCTGGGCTTACCGAATATTTAATTTACAATGCCAAAGCACTCTCCAGTGGATAGCCCTGTCCCCACTCTGCTTTTTAGCAAATCTAGAAATGAGAGAATGAGTTAAAGTATCCACCATGCAATATTCTACTTTCCTATATTCTGCTGTAATTGGTTCAAACATGAACCTGCTAACTGTCCACTCACTATTACGTTATAGACATTAAAAAAACCCAACCAACCAATCCAGCAGCTTGGTAATATGAATGGTCTGTGCCTCAAATCTTGAGACCAGTAGAGCAACACAACCATGTTTTAAGTGAATATGCATACTAGTTAGGATTCAATATATAAAACTGTGAGACTTCTTTCCTGTGCAGTAGGGGTGAGAATGACAGGTATACTTGGAGAGTGTGTTTATCTGTCTCATGCACTTGGACTGGTTGGCAGAGCTGACATGAGTTTACCAGGCTGATTCTTCTGATTTGCCAAAGCTAAGCTCAGTGATAAAAGCTTAGTTTGCTGGCAGTTTACCAAAACTGCAATTACCTGTATGGAACTTTATTGAAGACTTGGGAACAAAATTATGTAAATTGGGTGGGTGGTTGGGGAAGGGCTTTCTTTTGTTACAGTCATGCAAACAATCTTCATTTGGAGTATAACGTGCTTCACTCATTCATTTGGTTCCTTGCAGATGATGCAACAGTTGTATAAGGAGTGCAACTTGGTCCATGCAGATCTGAGTGAATACAACATGCTTTGGCATGATGGGAAGGTGAGCTTATCCTTAATGTGGGAAGGAAAGGTTTCATCTAATGTGAAATGTTAACACGAAGTGAATTGCTACCTCTCTGTGATGACAGGTCTGGCTTATTGATGTCAGTCAGTCTGTGGAGCCAACCCATCCTCATGGACTTGAGTTTTTGTTCAGAGACTGTAGGAATGTTTCACAGGTAGGATTTCTTCATCTGACAATCTTCTGTTAGGCTGAATGTTTTCCAAGATAAAAATCAATTCACAGTTAAATAAATCAATGAATACAACTCCGTAAAAAATTATCACCACCATATAAAAAGATAAAGATAGATAGATATATAGATATATTAAAAAAAAGATTACTCTTGCATATTGTCCACACCAATGGTGTTCTTCTCCGAAAGGGAAAGAAGTGTGGAAGAATAAAACAGTACCACTAGAACTTAAAACTTCTTTCAGTTATTTTTATCTATAGGTCAACAAAAGCAAAAATGTAATTTTGGCTAAATATTGCAATTGTAACTTGGGGAAGGAAAAGGAATATTTTGGTTTGTGTAGTAAAGTGTTTAATGTGTGCTCTTTATATTGACTAGTTTTTCCAGAAAGGAGGTGTGGCAGAAGCACTGAATGAGCGTGAACTCTTCAATGCTGTCTCAGGTTTAAATATTACAGCTGACAACGAAGTAGACTTCCAAGCAGAGGTACAGTTTTCTCCGTGTCTAACACTTTAATTTGCTTAGCTGTAGTAGCTACTGTAATACCTTAACTTCCCACGTTTAGTTTGCGTGATTAGAGTGTGTGAGTGTAACTTCAGCCATCATTCTGTGTCTCTTTGTCCAAACTTGATTATTTCAACCTAGTACAAACATTTTCAGAAACTCAGACGGACAGGCCTCTCCACTCCCTTTCCTGATACCTCTGCTCCCAAGTACGAAAGGTTTTGTGTTGCCTGTAACTGCTTCTTTTGGTCTTAAGGAGACTTTAGTGACCCGTTTAAAAGCTAGCTTTGTTGTCTTTCCTTACATACGTTAAAGGTTGTGCAGAGGAAGGAAAGCTGGATTAAAAATAATAATTGTTCTACTGCTTATTTTTCATGTTTTAGATTTTAACTTACTTGAATTTAAAGTTTAGGCTAGCATTGTCAATTTTCAAGCCTAAAATCATGCTAATATAAATATGGACTAGGAATCTTTGGTCACCTTTGGCTTTTAATTTTCAAATTTTGGCTGTAACTCCTCCAGGTGTTCATCCTGATACCAGACATGTATAAAAATAAGTTGTCAAACATTCCATATTTAGTAATTAAAGTAAGGGCAGCATGGCAATTCTACTCTACTTGATTCCTTTCCTGGTGACAGTGTAGGTTGATGCTAGTCCAGCATGCAGTAGGTTGGAGCTTGAAACTAGTCAACTCCTCAAATAGGTCCTCAACGTGAGGAAGAGATAAAGGGAACACAATGTTGCTGTTCAACAATCCTTGTGTATCAGTTAATCAAGCAAAGCCCGATTCCCTCACTAGCTGTGGTGTGAGCTTTGGGGTGTGGGCTGGGGGTTGTGGTTGTTTTCTGTCATCTTCTGTGCTTTTAAGTTTTACAGGGAAGACTTACATTGCTCTTTACTTAGAGGTGAATTTGAGCAGCCCATCCTTAAACCTCAGACTTTGACTCTAGTCGCTAGTAACTAAAATTATCTCCCCTGGAGTACAAGCAGAAGTAATCCAAACATAACAGTCTGAAGATCAAAATAAGCTACTGTACTGCGTTACTTTGATTGCGACAAAATACTCAAGTATACTATCTTCCATTTTTAACTGTGAAAGTTGTTGCAGTGGATTTTCTCCAATGCTGATGGATTGGCCGAGTTACAGTAGAGGTGTTCAGAGTTGCAGGAGGGGACAGTTCTGTACTTGGGAATACAGCTGAAGTCTCCAGAATCATCCAATCCTCCCTGCAACTCATGCATTTTGGTTACATAGCATGAAACCTTAAAGGAGTGCTTTTACTAACTTGTTGAGAACAGATGTTTGAAGCTGTACTTCCGAAGTAGGTTGCTCCATGCATGTGACTGAATCATTGACGTAGCAGTATTGTAAATACCTGATCAGTCACCTAAAGCTACTTTTTAACTCTGGCACAGGCATGGTTTTACGATTTCAGCATGGTTTTATTTTTGGCTCTCTAGATTGAAGCGTTGGAGAAGATGAATGAAGATCATGTGCAGAATCATGGAAAGAAACTGTCAATGTTTTCAAGCCATGGAGACCCACCTATATATGATGAATAGCACTGAGCGTACAGCTGCTAACGAAACAAAACACAAGTTTACTGCTTCTAACTATGTTGGTGCAGTGGTAAATGTCAACTACCGATGTCAAGAGAGAGTGGTTGGCTGGGAATACCGAAATGGAAAACACAGCGAGCATACGGTGATGTCTCAGTGGTTTGTTTTGTTGTTTTGTTTGTTTGGTTTTTAAACTTAGCCCACACATCAGGCTGGCACTGTGAGAATGGACTGTCACTCCATCTTCAGATGGTCTGACAACTTCACCAATTGCCCAGCTATGTTAGACTGATGTAGCTGAGGTGGTCATATTTTGCATGATTCAGAGCTTAATTGTTGTATTTTTTTTTTTTTAAATATTTTTAAAAATCGTCTAGGTCATCTAAAGTATTTAGGGGGGAGGCACACTAGGAAAGTCCCTCTTTTTTTTTCGTATTGCTACCTGAAAAACTAATTAAAAATTGTGTATGGACACAATTTCATCCTTCTCCACCAAGGGCAAAATGGAAAGTCAAACTATGCGCTGCAATCATATGAAAATGTTAATTTAACAAACCAGTATCTTTGTATATGCAAAAGTCTGGAGCTGTTCGTTTGAAGTACATGGAATGTAGCGCTCATTCTCTGTAAATACAATTGGGTATTGCACGAGAAACAGATTTGAATCCAAGCAGCAGAGGATTTCTTTGGTGATGTGCCAGGAAATCCTAAGGCCTGCATCCAAGTTGCATAACAAAGAGTAAGTTCAGTTAGCTTCACTCTTGATACACAACCGGTTCCCAGAACTCAGTGCAAGCAAAAAAAAAAAAAATTCTCTATAATAATCCTGTCACTAAACTGAAATTCTGGGTAAAGCATCAAACATTCACCCCCAAGGTAATCATAGACTATGAAAAATAAATATTGATCTTTATTTTTTAAATGAAGCTTTCTGCTTACAAGTGCAAAAAGAGTACTCCAATTTATCTTTCTCATGTTTTTATTCCTAATGTCAGTCTTTTTATTTTAGCAAGTTCTAAAAATCTAGCACTGTTTCTCTCCAAAACAACACATTTAAAGATGAACTGATGTAGTGGGATGGGTTGGAATTAAGAAATTCTGATCAACTTCTTTTTAACTGATTGCAGTTTGTGATGCTGTTCTTTATCAAGCAGAATATAGTGTTGCTACATGTGACATTCTCACAGTGTGCTGTGAAAGTGATTTTTTTTTTTTTTAATTTTTTTGTTTGTTTTTGGAAAACTGGTGCTGAAGTAAAAACATCAGATCTTGTGGTGGTATTCTTACATGGTTCTTTGCATTGTACAGGCCTTCATTGATCCTCAGTGCTGCACTGGAGCAGTGTGAGGGGAGGACTACACTAACTCATTAACAACAGAAAAATGACTATTTTGATGGGTACTACATAAACAGTAAACAACCTTGGTGTTTTTGCCAGTTTCATCCAGTACTTCAGTTCTCTTCCCTTTTCTAAATTAGACACTTGTCTTGCATTTACCCCTTACTGTTGGATAAAGGAACTTGGGTCTTTTGGAGACTTAAGTCTATTCCTAATTGCTCAGTGAAACAGTTGCCCAAAATAATGGTACCAGGGAAAGAACAGACTAGGTACTGAGAGGGAGGTGCTACACTTACTCCCAAAATAATGATATCGGGGAAAGAACAGATTAGGTACTGAGAGGGAGGTGCTACACTTACCTAACCCCTTCGGGAGGACTAAAAGCTTGTGGTGTCAAATATAACCAAATCTCCTTCAGAGGAGAAGGCTTTTAAAAAGAAAAGGATGGTCCTATTCTAGGCTTATTGCAAGTTTCAGTACTCTTAACATTTCTTAGAGGAAAAAAAATAAAGTAGTTACCAGTACCTTACAATGTGCTTGTTTAGGAAAGAGCTGATTGTTAGGGGTATTCGCATCAAGTGAGAGGAAGAGAGAGCACAGAAATAAGGGGAAGTGAGGGGAGGGTGGGTTTTGAGCTGTCGTTTGAAACGGGCACCTGCTTGTATCATTGTGGTTGGACTGAAGCCTTGGTTGTAATTCGCATTTTTAATTTCTTTCTAAAATCTGTCTGGCACAGATTGAAAAAGAAAAAAAAAAACCCAAACCAAAAACCCCACAACAACAAAAACCAAATAAATGAAGCAATGGTCTTCAAGTCTGTGATTTAAAGCTACTGGGCCTGATTATATTGCCTAAACATCTTTTTACTTTTCAGCAGTAAAATTGGCTCAGGAATCTGCTTTCAGGTTTTAAGACACCTGAGCATGTTGTCAAGTAGTTGAAAACAAGAAGTTGCTAAAACAAGCATTTTCCTGGACTACTTTGGAATAAAAAGTTCTAGGATTATTATTAAGCAAATAGAATCTAGAAGTAAATACAGATTGTTCATTGAGGCATTGGTTTAATTAACTTTTCTGACATTGTGACTATTCTAATGGCCAATTCTAAAACTGTCACAATGGTTTCAGGTTGTGTGTTTATATACTTCTCTGCTGATTTCTGCCCCATCTGCCTCAGTTTCTATCATCTTAATACTCCTAGTGCGGCTGTAGAAAGTGCTTGCTGTCCTGTAGAGAAGTAGAAGGTTAAACGTGAGTAGAATTTCTTAAATTTTGACCTTGGATTAAATAAAGTTTTGGCTAACATGCAATGAATTTTTTATGTTGTGAAAATTATGAACTCTAAGGTACTTTAAATGCTCTGGAAATACTTGTCTTTTCTAGTTAACAGAGAACTGTTTGATGACGCTGGAGGGTTCTGCAGAACAAATAGCTTGTTGTAATTCCTAGTTGTGCTTTTCACTTTCTCCAGTCTGATGTGAAATTATTTCAGTTGGACTAAGAGGGTCACAAGTCAGCAAGCGGTTGTTTGCATGGTACTGTGTTAGTATCTGGGACTTAAATTTCTATTTCTCTTGTCCTAAGTTGTGTCACTTCGGTCTAATCTGAAAACTTTTAAATTGATATGATCTCAGTCTTCCCCCCCCCCCTTGTAATTTCCTTTATTTCCCTTTCTAAACCAATAAGCAAATATGCAATTGATGCTGTCACACAATTTCTAAATTATACTGTAGGTTTTGCAACTAGCGAACTAAGGCATCAACCAAAAAAACCCATTGCTGGTTTATTGTCCAAACTAAAATACAAATAAGCATAACTGCTGAGAAACAATCCAGACTTCAATAATACTTTGTTAATATTTTTGCTGAAATAAGGACTATTTTCAGAGTATAATTTCCCTTTCTGATCTCTTATAACTAGCCCCTAAAAAGCAGTTTCATGCCCAAAAGCAGTATCAATAGTGACTGCTTTTCAGTGATGACGGAGTAAGTACGGATAAATTAAGGCAGAGCTCTGAAGCAGTTCGTTCCTTTAAACGTTTGGGTTTGTGGTTTGTTGGTGGGGGGGTTTTTTGTGGTTTGGTTTGGTTT